ATGAATTAGTGTGGCCAGTCAGAGACGTCTGCCAGGGCACAGGAGTGGGGGGAAGGTGGGGCTGAAGAGTGTTTGCCACCCTTAATTTAAGCACAGGTTTGATGCTCTGTACAGATGTCATGTGAACACAAGCCTGTCCCATATATTAAATTTATTCTACAGTGAATATGTATGTCCAGATAAATGTGTGTGGAATCCCATAAGTGGCTTAGAGAAAAGTGGAAAATATCTGTAATATAAATGCAGATTATCTTCATCACAAAATTGGATCACATTCTCATTCCTAGCCTAATTTCCTATACCATAAAACCTATAGTCAATTTTATAAATAGCATACACCAAGAATCATAAATTTAGTTAATGTAGAAATTTAACAATTTTTTAAAAATAAAAGTGAGAAAATATTGTTTTAGAACAAGTATCTGAAAAAAACAAATCGGGTTCTTTCTTTTAAAATATGTTTTTTCCTCTCACTACTTCCTTGGGGACATGACTAGAGAAGATATAAATTTCATAGCTAATATATATGAAGTAACATGTTTAACAGTATCCAATGAATTTATATCTACCTACACCATATCAATTTATCTCCCATAAACTGTCACACCCAACAGAATTCATGAAAACAATGTTATAGCTGTAGAGTTAAATGCAACCTTCTAAGTGGAATTTAATCTTATAATAGTAGTTGGTGGGTTTTCTCTTTTAACTGACAAATGGAGTAACTCATTAGTTTGTCTTCAGTTCCAGTTCCATCTGAATACCTGGGAAGCGAACCTGCCACAGGGGTTGGACTGGCAGGACACTGCTGGGAGGTATGGGGGGTGCAGGTTCTCACCCCATGTTCAGAACGCTTGCTGCTGAGTATGGGCAGGAAAGGGAATTACTGTATCAGTAGTGTATGCCATTACCTCCATGTAAATGTCATGTTAATTTCTGATCTTCATCAAGGCACACAATGGCTGTCACCTGGCCTCTAGCCAATTAGCTACGGGGAAAATGTTCAGCCAATTACATTACTTCTATTACATTAGGGACTGGAAAGAAAGGCAAAATAAATGCCTCAAAAACAGTTCAGAGATAAAATGTAAGTTGACACTGTCTTCGCGCTGGAGCCCAAGTTATACAATCTGATAGGCAGCTGCCAGCCCGCATAACCGCTTATTAAATCTAGGCTCTCTGTACAGCCTGAGTGAAATCTGTATTTTTACCAATATTAGGTTCGTTGTGTTATGAAAGAGACCAAAATACTTAAGATCACTCGCTCCAGCCTATAAAACATATTATGTAGTTTATTAAATTGTTAAAATTACTTTTCAAAGTCAAACTTTCCAGACTGGAAGTTGAACACAACACCATGGGCCAGCCCACGGCCTGTGCCCCACACCAGGTGGCTCGGGGGCAGGGCCCACGTCAGCTCCCCTGTCCTGAACCCATGACCTGCCCCTCACCGGAAGCTGCACCCCACACCCACCCCAAGGCCAAAGACAGCAAATCCATACTCATGGGTTTTATAAGAAACCAAGAAGGAGCCCATAATCAAGTCATGAGAAACATTTTCCTCGTTTTCACCTCTTCCTAGCAGGTTAAATACTAGGAATCTGATTACGAGAGAGAGCAAAAGAGGAACTGTGGGCAAAGGAGAAAACGCCAGTGGTGACAGAGCGATGTCACATGATGCTCCCACTCACACCGCAGTGGATGCACATGGACAGGGCGGCCCAGGCGCAGCCGAGACTCCAGTTCCCAAGAAAACACTGTGCAAATCCCGCCTGGTGTGCCCACGTGGCTCACCACAACGTGGCCGACCACCTGTTACACACGCAGACAGCTGCTCTTCACTCAGGTCCTGTGATGTACATGGGGCAGGCACCAGCGTCACCTACAGCCTGGTGCCACGAGAGTCTGACTCCCTGCTGGGATGGCAGATTCAAGAGCCTGGCACTGGGACACACCTCAGTGCTTAACCCGTCTCCCTCCGTGTCCTGCCCCCGAGTTCATTTGCTGGGCAGACATGACTGTTGCCCAGTCCTGGCCTTGACGCTGAGTGGCAATGACCTGCGTGCACACACCTGGCTACACATGTTCCCCTGTGTCTGCGTGCAGTGTCTGGCTGCCCCGGCTGCCACCCCTGTGCCTGGGGCCCATCCCCTCAGGAGGACACTTACTATTTCACTCAGAATTACAGTGTATTTCAAGCCTAAAGACTCCAAATGATCCCCTGGTGTTTCTTTGGTTACGTGTTAAGCTGTGAAGCTCTAAAAGCCACAGGGTGGTGGCCAGCTCTGCAGTGGAAGGACCAGCCTCGCTCTCAGGTGCACGGCGCACGCAGCCAGGCCACAGCGTCTCGGAAGGAAAAGACAGCCTTCCAGCACACGGAGGCGAGCTTGGAGGACACGCGGGGAGGACAGGGCTTGGGCCACGCGCAGCAGGTGGATTTCCGTGGCCTCCACCCTGGAGAACAGGGGCGCCTGTTCCAGTCTGGTAAACACAACACACTTCCATGTATGTAACTGGAATTCAAAGGGCCTAACGGTACATTTTATCAATTCAAAGGAGATAACATTTTCATTATAGGAGTTCGGATTGATTTTTCAAATAGCAGGTCTTACTCAATGAAATTAATGAATAAAATGAACCTAGACTTCAATAAATCTATTCATGTGGTTTTGTTAAATTTCATACATCAATTTTATGAGAGTGAGATTAAGTCAGACTCTCTCAATACTGAAGACAGAGATGACAGGTAACCTCAAACTTGAGTTTGTTGCCATTTCAGTACCTTCAGAATTCCAGCCACTTCTACAAATTCTCCAGTGTGTACACGAGACAGACCCAGGCTTTGTTCTCAACTCTGCCTGGATCCCCAAAGATGCCATTTTTCACAACACGTGCTGTCTGCTCAAGAGTCTGCAGACCACATACAGAAGCCCAGCCTGGCTGGGCACCAATGGGAGGCCTCAGGGGGACGCCACAGAGAGGGCGAAGGACTCGCCGGGTGACCCAGTGAGAAGGTCTCCTTGTGTGTTCCTGTGCACTGTTTGCCTTACTGCTGGCCAGTGAAAGAGAGATCACTGTGAAGAAGACAGAAAGACTCTCCCCTCTCTCTAGCTTCAGCAGAACTGATGCAAGGACAGGCCATCAGACGAGCCGCCTCCAGAACCACAGGATCACCTGGGTTGGATTTACACCTGGCTCGATGTTTCATAAGGCTCTTTCCTTTTCCATCTATAAAATGGGAGGGATTTGTCAAAATGATCTCTAACTAAAATATTTAAAAATCTGGTCCAGCCCAGTCCGGCCGGTGTGGCTCAGTGGTTGAGCACTGACCCGTGCACCAAGAGGTCGCAGGTTCGATTCCCAGTCAGGGCACATGCCCAGGTTGTGGGCCAAATCCCCAGTAGGGGGCACGCAGGAGGCAGCCAATGTTCTCTCTCATCGATGTTTCTCTCTCTCTCTCCCTCTCACTTCCTCTCTCTCTAAAATCAATCAATTAAAAAAATAATTTGTTTTTTAAATAATCTGATCCAGCCCAGCCAGTGTGGCTCAGTGGACTGAGCGTCGTTCCATGGACTGAGAGGTCCCGATTCGATTCCCAGTCAGGGCACATGCCCAAGATTTGGGCTCAATCCCCAGTAGGGGGTGTGCAGGAGGCTGCCTATCAATGTTTCTCTCTTACATTGATGTTTCTCTCTCTCCCTTTCTCTCTAAAAAAAAATCAATGGGGAAAAAAACATATTTTTTAAAATCTGGTCCATATAGCTGAATTCATAACAAGATCTTAGAAGAAAACTTGTCAGAAAAGGTTTACTGAACTGCATGGGCTGAATCCTCAATCTCTGTAACTGTGGTCAGGTAGAACAAGAATCACTGACTGAGACAGACAGACAAGTTCCAATCCTGACCAAGCCCAGGTACGTTCCCCTCAAACTCCTGCAGCTTCCGCTGCTCCATGTGTGAAGTGGGGATGTAAACAGACCAGTCCAGGGCCTTGCTCATTTCACAAAGAGGACACTGAACTTAACTGCCTCGTTTTAACAACAGAAATCAAAACCCAGACTAACACACCCCGTGCCGGGTAGCTCGCGGGTCTCCCAATGCCCAGTATGCTGTCCTGCCAACTTCCCTTACGACCCTCCACTCATTCGAATCTGCCTCAAACACAAGCCCACTGAGAAGGGAAGAGGTTATGCGATGGCTCTTACGTGAATTGCCATTCAGTACAAAACCTGCAGCCCACGGTTCCCCATGAAGCTGACCTCATTCTATGACAGACCTACCACTGAATGATGCCAGAGTTTTCCCCAAAAGGCCAGGTCTCAACCAATGAGTGTCTGTGGTAAAAGCAAGTCACAATTATTCATTCATGACTATATAGGAGCCATCAATTTCTGAGGAACATGATAGATAATATCACACGAAACAGAAAAAGATCACATCCCTTTTGACCTCCCCCTAAAAATGACAATGAATAACCCAATGAGGCAAACTGTGATTGAAAAAACACCCATCAGTCTTCCTGAAAGTCGGTGCATCCAAAGTACTGAATTCTTAGCTTTCTCAAGAGCCCTGACTACGAGGAAGGCTTGGGACGGGACATTCTAATGCACAAGCAAACCTAAGTCCCCATAAAACACAGGAGAAGGTCATTGCAGCCTTGTTTCGTGGTGGTTCGTTCATCACAAGCAATCCTTTCGTTTGTGCACGTGGCTCCCCATTTGGAGAGACCACCCTTCAGAGTGTGGTTGAAAGAAACAGGCAAGCAACAAGCATTCTCCTGGTCCTACCACGCCTTTCACACATCCTCAGATCCCCGCAGGTTGTCCACGAAGATCACAGCAGGAAATGACGACCGAGTGTGTCCCTCCTTTCAATGAGACTCTCAGTCTCACCGCCATTGTTCTGATCGACCTACACCTTGATCAGGTCCACACTGGGCAGGCCCCTTCCGCTGACATTGTCCCGTGAACCCAGATGAGTAACTGTGGACGTACACTCACCCTGTTGGCCAGCAGGCATCACATCCACCCATTCATGGTTGGCAGCAAATCAGAGAAGGGATCGCAGCCCTCACCATGGCCCAAAACTGACGTCTGGAACCGGGATTGTCAGCAAGAGCTCCTGGGACACTGCGGCACAAAAAAATTGTTACACATAACTCAGATGTCACTTCTGAAACCACACTTCCTCACGCTCGAAAACAGCAAGACAGACGTCGAACCCAGAGGTGGGGGAAAGCACCTTTCAACCAGGGGGTGTCAATATCGAGGGTGATGCTGCCAAATAGGAACCGGAAATACTGCCGTTGAGAGCTACATTCACCAATCAGTTCAACACAGCCAGGCAGGGGCTGTGTGCACCCAGACGCTGTCCTGGCTGCACCAACACCTGTGCCCTTCCAAAGTGCTCCAGCAGCAAGCTGTTCCAGTGAGTTCTTACTGCTCCCTAGGAATGGACGGTCTTTTCCAGAGGAAAGCCATGAACATATTAAATAAGAATAATAATTTTAAAGTATTTTTTAAATAATTACAAACACCATAACTAGTAAAGGGAGTAACCATAGTCAGTTTTCCTCCAAAATAATTCTAACAATGTTAAGAGTTAATAAGGAGCAGACTCATGGAGGTATTTGCATCCAGAGAGAACACACTGTGTAACTTCAAGCAGCGAAGCAGAGAAGTCCGAGTTCTGGGCCCGGTACTGTCACCAGTCAATACTGTGGCCCGGAGAAAGCCGGTACCACCTTGGGATTCCAGGGTCTTCCTCACAGGGCCAGGGCATAAAGTGATGCCCCCAAGTCCATTCTTCCCCTTAGCTCTCTGCCGTTTTGGGTAAAGCACACTGTTCCAAACAGCCTAAGCACAGAGGACTTCTCACTCTGGCGCCAGTGCCCGACCCCAGCACGCTGGCACCTTGGTGACGGATGGCATCCCCTGGGTTCCCACGCAAGGCGTCCATTCCTCTCCAGAGGCTGCAGCACCAGTCCTACGGAAATCTGCCCAAATGTATCAGAGGAGAGTTTCCAGACATCAGTGTGCAGAAGCATAACTTGGAAGCTTTTTAAATCACATGTCCCTTCCCAGCCAGTGTTGCTAAGTGGTTAGAGCACCCGCCCACAGACCAAAGGGTCATGATTTCGATTCCAAGTCAAGGGTATACACCTGGGTTGCAGGTATGACCCCAGGCCCAGTGGGGGTCATGCAGGAGGCAACCAATCGATGTGTCTCTCTCACATGGATGCCCCCCCTCGCTTCCCTTCGACTCTATTTAAAAGTCAATGGGAAAATATCCTAGGCTGAGGATTAACCAAAATTAAAAAGTACAGATCCCCACGGCCCACCCCCAGAGTCTGGGCCTTTCTACAAAACTAACAGGGAAGGCGCATACTTCTGACCAGGGACCCCTGCTCGAGTCCAAATAATGCAGCCCCTTTCTCGGAATCTCAAGAAGCCCTGAGACCCAACAGGTATGTCCAAGGCTCAGAGGCTCTCCAAAACCACTGAGCCACACAGCCGAGAGAAATGGGCAAGGCTGTCTGCCATCTCTGGGATAAAATCCAAATGTCTTTCTATGGCCCAGAAGGCCCTGCCTGATCTGGTCGCTTTCTGCTTCACTTGTCACCGCCAGCCCCACGCAACCACCACTCTGACAGACACGGGCTTCCCCAGCGTTGTCCGCAGGCCTGGCGCAGCGCCTTCCCAGCTGCCTGGAGCTCCCAGGGCCTGGGCCTTGCCTGCTGGCCCTCTCTGGTCCCTGGGCCTTAGGGGCAAAGGCCCTTCAAGAAGGCTGACCTGCCTACCTACTTAAGCTAGGTCCTCAGTGACTTTCAATGACATCATGCTGGGTGCTTTCTCCAGAGCTCTTGTAATAATCTATAAGCGTTTTTCTCATGTCTTCACTTGTCTTTCCCACTGGCTATAAGCTCTGCAAGGCGAGGGCGCCTCTTGCTCGGCGCAGCACAGGCCGCCGCGTCCACGCACCAACAGACCGCTGCGAGAATCCCTCGCATCCCGTGAAAGCAGAATCTCCATTTACTGAAAACTCAGGATGTGCTGGGTATTGTTTTAAGTATTTCAGAACAGTTACTTCATTTACTTTTATTTTTACAACAAAGTTCTTATGAGCTCAATGTCGCAGCTAAGGAAAATGAGGCAGAGTGTGTGGGCCTGCCGAGAACACAAGCAGGTGGCCTGACTCTGCAGGACGTGTGCTCCTCGAACTCAGGACTGTCCAGTCAACACAGTCCCACAGAGACTGAGTGCTCGCCTGTAGGACACGTCCCGCCTCAAGCTTGCCTGAGCGGTGGCGGCAAGCCCTGTGCAGGGTCTCTGTCCTGACCCTGAGCTGAGGCTCCCACAAGGCCAGGCAGGTAATGCAGCTGCGCCAGCAGGCCAGGTGTGGGCCAGGTGTGGGCCAGGTGTGAGGTGCAGGGTGACGAGGGGTGTGGAAGACCGACAGACCCGCGCTTTCTCAGCTGGAGAGCGGCCAGTACACCCAAGCCAGCTTATTGCCACTTGGGAACATAAGCTCAGGGTTTCAAGAGTTTTCAATTAATTCTACAACTGAAGTTAGCAATCCAGATTGTTTGTAAAATGTCATAGTTTTTCAAAGACAGGAGCTACTCTTTTAATAGTATACATTTAATAGTACACACTAAAAAATATATATACATATGTGTGTGTATATATGTATATATATGTATTTATGTGAGTATATATGTGTGTGTGTGTGTGTGTGTGTATATAAAATATATATAAAACTATGCAAACCCTGCATCAAATGACTTTTGAGGTCATGCCAGGCATCCAGGTCGCGACCGCAGGAGCACAGAGCTGTATAGGGACACGGAGAGGACAGGGAGGACAAAGGGGAGGGACATGGGGGACACACACAGAGAGGCACACACAGACACATGGCATCTGGGCATACAGGCTTTCCAGGGAATTATCTTGAGCAAGCTTTGGAAGGAAGTGGAAGTGGAAGTGGGGTGGAGAGAGGCATCCCACAGTATAAAACATGGTGTTCAAAGTGCCCCGAAGAGCATCAGGGTGCGGGGAGCAGGAGGAGGGTGCCTGGTCTTTAACCCCGGTGCAGCGCTGCCGGTTCTGGCCAAGCCAGCCGCCGCAGACACGCTGGGGGCATGATCACTGGTGCTGTCCCGCCTGGCTTCCCAAACGTTCGTGTCCGCAGGCACACCCGAAACAAAGGGCCCATTGCCGCTGTGTGTGTGCAATGTTTGTGTTAGTGTTTGTGTCTTGTTAAGAATCCAACAAGCCCAGCCGGAGTGGCTCAGTGGTTGAGCGTCGACCCATGCACCAAGAGGTCGCCAGTTTGATTCCCAAGGGCACATGCCCAGGTTGTGGGCCTGATCCCCAGTGGGGGGCATGCAGGAGGTGGCCAATCGATGTTCTCTCTCATGGATGTTTCTATCTCTCTCTCTCCTTTCCCCTCTCTCTAAAAGCAATAAAGAAAAAAAAAAAAAAGAATCCAACAGACCCAAGACTGAATTCCATCCCAACCAAGCTCTATAACTCCAACCAAATGTTATATAAACAACACACAGTATAGTTCTACGTGTGTTTGTAATATATGTACTATAACATGCAGTATGTGCATACATATACACTATAATGTTTGCATACATACACATACATTTATAAAATATAAAATATAAGCTCTATAGTTCTAACCAAATATCACATAAACTATGTATGCTATAGTGTTTATAAATATTTAGTGTTTATACTATAAAATGCATACTATAAACACATACACTATATACTATGAAATACAAGCCCTGTAACTCTAACCAAAACTCTGAGCTTTAAAAATGAAAAATACAGCAATTTAAAAAAAATTTTTAAACCACCAAAAAAAACCCTGGCTGGTTTCTCTCAGTGGTTAGAGTGTTGGCCCCAGGAATAAAGGGCCATGGGTCCCATTCCCAGTCAAGGACGCGTACCTGGGTTGCAGGTTTGATCCCAGCCCCATTCGGGATCATGAGGAAGGCAACCAATCAATGTGTCTCTCTCATATTGATGTTTCTCTCTCCCTCCCTCCCTTCCACTCTATTAAAAAAAAAAAAACAATGAAAAAATATTCTCAGATAAAGCTCCAAAAAAAAATCCACCCCAAAAGAAGATAGATATCTAAAATTATCCAGAACACTGATCAAAGGCAAATACTGTACCTAGAATTACATATTTGGAAAAACTATCCTTCAAAAATTAGGATGAAATAAAGACCTTTTCAGACAAACAGAAGTTTATCACCTCTACAAGGACATTCAAAAAATGTATCTCAGACCAAAATAAAATGATTTTAGAAAGAAGGTTCTCAGGGTTAAAAGGGGGGGGGGCGGGCAGAATACGGGAGACCTCATGAGTGAATGAAAAGTAAATGCATTAAGATGATGTGCAGGTCTTCAGAACACCAGAACACGTGAGAATGTCTGGTCTGGCAACACCATCACTGGCCCCCATCCTTCCTCGTCCCTGCTGCAGCGACTTTGACCACCGAGGCCTCGGGCTGCAAACCGACCACCCAGGCCATGACTGCAAACCAACCACCCAGGCCTCGGGCTGTAAACCTTCCTGTGCTCCTGAACTCCAGCCTAAAATGCAAGTTCCTACCACAAAGTCCAGCGTCAATCAGGCCCCAAGAATCTGCACTGCTACCAGATGACCCAGTAAAGCTGACAGAGGCAGGTTCCTGGCTCCAGTGAAGAGCAGGGCATTCTCTTAACCACTTAGGGCCAGAAAGCCAGTGAGGCCCCAACTCAGCCCCGGAGGCCCTGCCTGCCTCCAGAGCAGGCCTTAGGTCTTCTCCACTTCAGCAGAGCCCTGAGCACCCTGGCCTGGGGTCAGCAGGGACCCTGCCCCAGCCTGACAATCAGGAGCTGCGATAAATTAAAAGCCCATTAAAATATTATTCAGAAAAGCCTAGAAGTGCAGAACATTAACGGTGCTATACTCAATCTGTTTTCCTAGAGATCTGAAAAGCCAGATTACCATCTTGGGAGTCATTAGAAGGAATGAAGTTTTCTCCTTTTCAATTTACATATTTTTAAATGCATACATCTCGCAGGCTCTCTCCCCAAGCCCAGTGCAGCCTGGAGAAAGGAGCCTGGGTCACAGGGCCCTCCTGCCTGGTTTTATAAAGTCAAGAAACCTGTGGTTACAAAACAGCACCAGAGAAACAGGCAGAGGCAGCCACAGAACAACACTGATGTTTTCTTGTTTTGTCCTCCAGTTTATTTTTCCCTGAAGCAATTCTTCTTGGTACAAAAGTCTGTAGGGAGCTGCCGGAGCAGCTGCGGTTCCCCGAGGCCAAGACCTAGCAATCAAGTTGTTTCCCAAACACTGCCAGGCATCAGGGAAACAACAGAACAGGCACCATTTGCATCTGTTTTTCAAAACAACCTCCAAAAGTCTGGGCCCTGCCTGGGAGGACCTGGAAATTAAAGGCACGCCCTCGCTGGGCGGCCCCAGGGTCTACTGCACTCCATTATTCCACTGCTTCTGAAGGGTGCCTGTCTTCAGAAAGGGGCGAAGGTGTCCAGAGCCGC